GACACTATTGACATCAATTGTTTTTCTGCACTATTTCTCTCTCACTATCTCACTCTTTCTTTCTCTTCTACTCCCAGCTTACTCTCTCTGTTCACTCTCTTTCTCTTCACAGACTTATATTACAATAGGTAAGGACATATTTATAGTTGTGTATGTCATTTGCTTATAATTCTAGATAATTCCAGCATAAAATGATGAGGAATACAAATTTCAGATTATTCTTCCAATGACGGTGGACAGTAGAATTCTCCAGATTATTACATTGCTTCAAAAAGTGGTAAGGAGCCTCTAGAACTTTCTAAATAAGGTTGTGCTCATTCTTCAATTCTCGCATTCTCCCACTCAGTACTGACTTTTCATTTTGACTCTTTTCTTTTTCGTCACGTGCAACTATGCCTTGACGAATTTTGAAGTTCTTGGTTCCTCGATCAGCATATCTGCCGCATCAAATATTTTTGGTTCTTCCATGCTTTCTTCTTCATTGATTTTTAGGTGGTTATACTTGGTATTTGAATTCTCTTGTCCATCCGATTTTCTTATTTGTGATTGTAAATTTGTATGTACTTTAACAACTTATTGTTGACTTTGCTTAATCTCATCTACTGTCGTCTGATGCACATCTGTCTGCCAAGAATTTTGTATTACGGTAATAAACTTCTTTTCGTCACTTGATCTTTGTGCATCTTTTGTCTCCTCATGGCTTTTTTGTACTTCTATGATCTCTTCTTGTAATTTATCTTTCATTTTCCTATAAATCTAACAGCTCAACCCTCTGCGATGTTTGCCAAACATATGCTTTTTCAAATACATCTTCTAAGTTTTTTCCCCCAGTGGAGTCTACCAAGAAGACTCTTAATAAATTACAATGTCCTCTTTTGAGTTATCGATCCAATCATCTTCTTCTGAGTCATCAATCCAGTCATCTTCGCAATTTATTTGCTTAGGCAGGACTACCACTAACATTGATTCATCCTTCACAATTAAGTTTAATTTCTTCTCTCGAGTCTACTCAATTATTGTCCTCGTTGCCTAAGTATCCAATTCTTCTTCACTATTGTACTTCTCTTGCTCATTGGAGGTTGCTATATTGTCTTTTCCTTACTCTTTTTTTTTTTTTAAACCAACAGTCTCTAATATAATGGCCTCGTTTTCACAAACAAAGCACGCGCCATTAGTTCGTTGATATTCTGGACCTCTCTTGTCACAATTTTGTTGAGCTCTCATTGTCATAAAACTTTCTTTATGTTTATTTCCTTTATTATTTTGTTGACAGGACTAACCTCTTATTTTACAACTATATAGTGCTTTTTCCTCTTCTTTCTTTATTGGAACCCTGCATTTTCCTTGTCAACGCTTCTTGATCGGTCGGCAAATTCTCAAGATTGACCAATGAAGGTTGCTCTAGCGAACCTTGTATTGCGGCAATAAATCTTCTAAATTCAGGTCTTAATCCATGTATAATTATTCTTCTCATTTTAGACTCCGAAATTTCACTTGAAGCATCTAGCTCAAAAATTCACAACAGAAAGATTTCCCTTTATTAAAATATCATCTTACTGTTAAGTCTCCTTGAGTAATCAAGAGAAGCTCATTTTCTAGCAATTACAACCTCAAGTCATTTTTCTTTGAGAACAGCGAGGCCAAAGTGTCCCATATTTCCTTCGGTGTGTTCCTATTTCTTACGTACTCCAACAGTTATTCCTCAATTGTCATTTTTATAATGAACAAAACCTTACCTGCTTTGATTCTCAACTTTTTTCAGAGCTTTGACCTCTTCTGGCGATGTCACGTTATGTCCACCAACTACCTCCCATAGGTCTTGCCCTTGGAGATATGACTCCCACGTAGGTTGCTCATTGTGACTTGATTTATCTCCTCTTAATCAAGCAAACTTTAATAAAGCATCACAATCTCACTTTTTGCACAATCTCAAAAAGCTCAAAATTTGTCCCTGACTGCCTCGCTTTGATACCATATATAACAGACCGCCCGTTCGGCCCTTGAGGTTACGGGACACCCTAAGGTAGCCTTTCCCCACCCATGCAGTCGAAAAGCTACATAATGTATATCCCTAGCATCCATCATCCTCAAAGCTTTCCATCTTTAATTCTGCTTGCTTGCCAATCTCTTTGCCACATGTTGGTGGTCCCAAAATCTTCTTCGCAAGAATGTATGCCATTAGTCTTAGGTAAACCGACAATACAACGTTCGAAGCAGACCTGCTCTAATACCACATGTTGAGTTTAACACCAAGAATAAAATGTTTATTATTCCAAAAACAATTACACACACCACTATCTCACTAAATTAATATTTAACAAAGACACTATTGACATCAATTGTTTTCCAGCACTATTTCTCTCTCACTGTCACCCTCTTTCTTTCTCATCTACTCTCAACTCACTCTCTTTCTCTTCATGCACTCGTATTACAATAGGCAGGAACATATTTATAGTTGTGTATGTTAGTGGCTTACAATTATAGAAAATTCCTACAAATTCCAAATGATCCTTCCTATTGCGGTGGACAGTAGAGCTCTCCAAATTATAGATTGCTTCAAGAGGTGGGAAGGAGCCTCTAGAACTTTCTAAATAAGGCGGTGCTGATTCTTCAAATTCGACCAAAACAATGCAAGAAAAAAAATTATATCCTTCGTTTCTTCTTAGCAAATTAGAAAAGCCAACTCATTTTCTAGTACTTCAGCATCTTTCCATTTTTTAAACAAAGGTGATGAACCGAGCTGTAAAATTTGTTGAGGAAGAGCAATTACAAGATAACAGATCTCAACTTGAGATTCTTCTTTTTTGTCATTGTCTTCAATCTTTCTTTATTTTTCTTAATTAGTCCTTAATTGATAAGTTTTTAGCTGAATCTGTTACATTTTCACGTTTTATTCACCATGTCACATGTTCTTCACTTTCAAGGGGTTTATCATTCTTGTTCATGTGTGCTTCAATAATGGTTTTGCTAACGTGTCATAAAATGTGAAAACAAACAAAAGTGTTTTTGCTTGTTCAACAATTGTGTCAGCACTTCTGTGTGCTTGTCGTTCAGAGTAAGTTTTTAACTAAATCTGTTACATTTTCACATTTTATTCACCATGTCACGTGTTCTTCACTCTTTGATTGATGTCACTTTTAAGAGGTTTATTGTTCTTGTCCATGTGTGCTTCAATAATGATCTTGCTAACGTTTAATAACATGTGAAAACAAACAAAAGTGTTTTTGCTTGTTCAACAATTGTGTTAGCACGTCTTGAGTGCTCGTCGTTCATAGTCAAGATCAAACTTATGATTTCGTATATCAAATGCTCGCTGCCAGCAGCATGAGTTCTCACATGCGAGCTCAAAGTTAAGTTGAATGGAAATTCCTGCCACTATCCTTGTAAAATTAGTTGTTAACATACCAAAGGCAGTATAAGTATTTATGTCTATTTGAAGAAGGAAAATTCTTATCAAAGTACTCAATATTCTGGCAATAATATGATCATGACTCTCTTTAAGTACAATGAACCAAAAAAAGTAGCCATGACTAGGTGCGCATAACATTGTTTGACTCGAATAAAGTGCTTCGAATTCTCTTAAGTGCGCATAATATTTTTTGACTGAAAATTTTACATGGAGACGTGAAAGGTTTGGACACCATAATAGACCTTATAATGCTGCAATTTGATATTCTGCCCATCAATCAAATCTTACCAGATGGGATTGCAAAGGAAACCTATAAAATATTTCAGTTTTAACCACATTTCTACATGCCGTATTGGTCGATCAGGTCAACAAAGAGATACGTGCAAAGCTTTCCTCATGCATCCCGTCCTTCAGCTTTGTTTTGGACAGCACGATTAAGTATATCAGACTCGGTTTTTCTAATTTGATCTCTTTTGCTCATTCTAGTAATATGGCAAAAAAGTATTTATGCAACCGACTCTAAATTGTCAAAAAATAAGACCATATTATGCAAATTATGATCCATGGAAATAATCTATATTATGCAAATTATGATCCATGGAAATAATCTACTTTTTTTGAGAGCACATCACTTGATATTCCATCATAAGTACGATTGACTTGGAAGGACTTTCAGGTAAGGCTTAATACTTCTACAAGGTTTTTCCAAACTGTAGGATGCACAAGTAATTTCTATTGAAACTAGCAGTGAAAATCTTAAGGCTCCCTCAATTCACTTTCTGTAATCCAAGTTCTTCACTTCAAGTACACGTCTCAAGTCCGTGTTGTGCCTTCACAATCAACTTTTTGGTGACCTGAGCCGGTCTACATTTACACCCCAACTTTAGGTCACCTTTCATTTACAATACCTGAAACTTCAAGACCTCATTACCAACTGCCAATAATAATGTAATCATCTCTGAGTTTGTACAGCTACTCTTACTGTCTACTGGTTTACATTGGCAGTCTGGAATATGACTCAAGTGGAAATTCCACAATGAGTACACTAACAACAGAAACTAAGCCTCATTACCAGTAAGTTTAGGGCCGTCTCCATGATAAGTACGTGGCTTGATTGCCTTTTTACCTTCTGTTGTGCTAAAATATTAAGAAGCTGATTCTTGATGATATGTGCTCCTAACAGACTTCAGTTCATCTTGGATCCTTCATACACATTTAAAGACTGTTCTGATAGATTATTGTGATTCAAAGTGGGGAAAAACCAGTCTTAAATAACATTCATGTACATTCATACCCAATAAATTTGTAGGTTGTAGCAAATTCATTAACTTTTATGTCTTGTTTTCTTTTAGATTTATGAATGACAGCTAAAAGTTTTCATGCTTAATACCTGCAGTTAGCATGGCAAATCATTGATGCTAAGTGCTGACGAAAGGTATCAAGCTCCAAAGGTTTCACCATGATCAATCTGCATTCTATTCTTTTTAACCAGATAGATGGTTTCTCAGTTAAGTATCGTTTGCGATTTATGTGTGAAAGGTACCATGAAACCGGTCTTCGCAGGCAATAGCATACAACTTCCTGTCAGAAATGATGAACAGAACCTTTATTTAAGAGCTCATAATTTTTAGGTTTGAATCAAATATCATATTGCATTTTAGATTGACAAAAAACACTAGACTCGATGAATATTTTTTCATATAGTAAGTGGGCTAACTATGTAACACAGTGACAATAAATAAAACAGAGGGATCTCTTGAGTATTCTTCTACAGAGATCTATGTCAATGTAAAAGAGAATGCAAGTTGTACAGTACTTGAACAGACTGAACTTCATTTTCTAAATTTGTAGAGTGCTATTCAATCCTCCCTATCAAATATGCCAAAAATGCTTTGTAACTTTTGGCAGCCAAAAAGTCTGTTATCTCCAAGGGCATTGACAATCCAATGAAGCTTAATTCTAACTTCCTTGAGCTTCATGATGGGGCGAACAGCCTTCCGATTTGAAGTGTCAAATGTTCAAGAGCATTCTCCCAGGTATCAAGATTTTGCCAAACATAACTATTTACAAGAAGTATTTCTCTTTACATTTTTCACCTAAGCATATCCCCAGAATATAACTGCAACCCACTCAATGCAGGAGATATGCTAAAAGTGTTACCCTCACCTCCAAAAAACGAAGGATGTCCAAGTATGGAGAGCTTAGGTGCTATAAGTGCATGCCTTTCTCACCATGACTTTTCTAAGTTTTTAAAACAGCTACTTCAATTTTGCTATTCATTTGTTTGTTCTCTTCTTCTAAGTATATCCATGGAATTTTACTGCTTGTCAGATGTAATTTGCTATGTTATTTTAAATCGTTATTCTACTATGGTTTAAAGAACTTGCTAGTGCTAACTCTTGGGCTTAGGAACTCCAAAATGCCCAATAATCTTAATCAAAGGAGTCGATCAACTTCAACATGTCATCACGTACATTTTAAATTTTTGATAAAAATCGAGCCTTAGCACTTCCAATCAATGCTACCGCGTAATCAATAGCTGTCCGTGTCAATATTATTTATTAGTATTTGCATATTTAAAATGTGATAGATGCAGCAGCAGAAAGTGCAGAATAAAGGGAGTGAATGACTTCCTCTAAAGTGGAATTATAAAATCTTTATTTTCATTTAGGCTTCGTAAGTATGTTGCAATTATGTTGAGTTTAACACAAAAAATAAAATGTTATTATTCCAAAAACAATTACACACACCGCTATCACACTAAATAAATATTTAACAAAGACACTATTGACATCAATTGTTTTTTTGCACTATTTATCTCTCACTATCTCACTCTTTCTCTTCTACTCTCAGCTTACTCTCTCTGTTCACCCTTTTTCTCTTCACACACTTATATTGCAATAGGTAGGAACATATTTATAGTTGTGTATGTCAGTGGCTTATAATTCTAACATAAAATGATGAGTAAAACAAATTCCAGATTATTCTTCCAATGGCGGTGGACAGCAGAATTCTCCAGATTATTACATTACTTCAAAAAGTGGGAAGGAGTTTCTACAACTTTCTAAATAAGGCCGTGCTGATTCTTCAATTCTCGCATTCTCCCATTTAGCACCGACTTTTTATTTTGACTCTTTTCTTTTTCGTCACATGCAACTATGCCTTGACGAATTTTGAAGTTCTTGGTTCCTCGTTCAGTATATCTGCCGCATCAAATATTTTTGGTTCTTCCATGTTTTCTTCTTCATTGATTTTTAGATGGTTATACTTGGTATTTGAATGCTCTTGTCCATCCGATTTTCTTATTTGTGATTGTAAATTTGTACGTACTTTAATATCTTATTGTTGACTTTGCTTAATCTCATCTAGTGTTGTCTAATGCACATGTGTCTGCCAATAATTTTGTATTACGCTAATAAACTTCTTTTCGTCACTTGATCTTTGTGCATCTTTTATCTCCTCATAGCTTTGTTGTACTTTTGTGATCTCTTCTTGTAATTTATCTTTCATTTTCCTATAAATCTAGCAGCTCAACCCTCTGCGATGTTTGCCAAACATATGCTTTTTCAAATACATCTTCTAAGTTTAGTAGTTTTTCCCTCAGTGGAGTCTACCAAGAAGACTCTTAATAAACTACAATGTCCTCCTTCGAGTCATCAATCCAATCATCTTCTTCTGAGTCATCAATCCAGTCATCTTCGCAATTTATTTGCTTAGGCAGGACTACCACTAACATTGATTCATCCTTCACACTTAAGTTTAATTTCTTCTCTCGAGTTTACTCAATTATCGTCGTCGTTGCCTAAGTATCCAATTCTTCTTCACTATTGTACTTCTCTTGCTCATTGGAGGTTGCTATATTGTCTTTTGCTTACAACTTTTTTTTAAACCAATAGTCTCTAATATAATGGCCTCGTTTTCACAAACAAAGCACGCGCCATTAGTTCATTGATATTCTTGACCTCTCTTGTTACAATTTTGTTGAGCTCTCATTGTCATAAAAGTTCCTTTATGTTTATTTATTTTATTATTCTGTTGACGGGACAGACCTCTTATTTTATAACTATATAATGCCTTTTCCTCTTCTTTCTTTATTGAAACCCTACATTTTCCTTGTCAGTGCTACTTGATCGGTCGGCAAATTCTCAAGATTGACCAATGAAGGTTGCTCTAGCCAACCTTGTATTGTGGCAATAAAACTTCTAAATTCAGGTCTCAATCCATATATAATTATTTTTCTCATTCTAGACTCCGAAATTTCACTTGAAGTGTCTAGCTCAGAAATTCACGACAGAAAGATTTCCCTTTATTAAAATATCATCTTACTGTTAAGTCTCCTTGAGTAATCAAGAGAAGCTCATTTTCTAGCAATTACAACCTCAAGTCATTTTTCTTTGAAAACAATGAGGCCAAAGTGTCCCATATTTCCTTCTGTGTGTTCTTATCTCTTACGTACTCCAACAGTTATTCCTCAATTGTCATTTTTATAACGAACAAAACCTTACCCGCTTTGATTCTCAACTTTTTCAAAGCTTTGACCTCTTCTGGCGATGTCATGTTACGTCCACCAACTACCTCCCATAGATCTTACCCTTAGAGATATGACTCCCATGTAGGTCGCTCATCGCGACTTGATTTACCTCCTCTTAATCAAGCAAACTTTAATAAAGCTTCGCAATCTCACTTTGTGCACGATCTCAAAAAGCTCGAAATTCTTCCTTGACCGCCTCGCTCGGATACCATATACAACGGACCGCCCGTTCGGCCCTTGAGGTTACGGGACACCCTAAGGTAGCCTTTCTCCACCCATGCAGCCGACAAGCTACATAACGTATATCCCTAGAATCCATCATCCTCAAAGCTTTCCATCTTTGATTATGCTTGCTTGCCAACCTCTTTGCCACATGTTGGTGGTCCCAAAATCTTCTTCGCAGGAACGTATGCCGTTAATCTTAGGTAAACCAACAATGCAATGTTCGGAGCAAATCTGCTCTAATACCACATGTTGAGTATAACACCAACAATAAAATGTTTATTATTCCAAAAACAATTACACACACCACTATCTCACTAAATTAATATTTAACAAAGACACTATTGACATCAATTGTTTTCCAGCACTATTTCTCTCTCACTGTCTCCCTCTTTCTTTCTCTTCTACTCTCAACTCACTCTCTTTCTCTTTCTCTTCATGCACTCATATTACAATAGGCAGGAACATATTTATAGTTGTGTATGTTAGTAGCTTACAATTATAGAAAATTCCAGCATAAAATGATGAGGTATACAAATTCCAAATGATCCTTCCTATTGCGGTGGACAGTAGAGCTTTCCAAATTATAGATTGCTTCAAGAAGTGGGAAGAAGCCTCTAGAACTTTCTAAATAAGGCGGTGCTGATTCTTCAAATTCGACCAAAAACAATGAAAGAAAAAAATAATATCCTTCGTTTCTTCTTAGCAAATTAGAAAAGCCAACTCATTTTCTAATACTTCGGCATCTTTCCATTTTTTAAACAAAGGTGATGAACCGAGCTGTAAAATGTGTTGAGGAAGAGCAATTACAAGATAACAGATCTCAACTTGAGATTCTTCTTTTTTGTCATTGTCTTCAATCTTTCTTTATTTTTCTTAATTAGTCCTTAATTAGTGAGTTTTTAGCTGAATTTGTTACATTTTCACGTTTTATTCACCACGTCACATGTTCTTCACTCACTGATTGATGTCACTTTCAAGGGGTTTACCATTCTTGTTCATGTGTGCTTCAATAACGATTTTGCTAACGTGTAATAAAATGTGAAAACAAACAAAAGTGTTTTTGCTTGTTCAACAATTGTGTCAGCACATCTGTGTACTTGTCGTTCAGAGTAAGTTTTTAACTAAATCAGTTACATTTTCACATTTTATTCACCATGTCACGTGTTCTTCACTCTTTGATTGATGTCACTTTTAAGAGGTTTATTGTTCTTGTCCATGTGTGCTTCAATAATGATCTTGCTAACGCTTAATAACATGTGAAAACAAACAAAAGTGTTTTTGCTTGTTCAACAATTGTGTTTGCACGTCTTGAGTGCTCGTCATTCATAGTCAAGATCAAACTTATGATATCGTATTACAAATGTTCGTTGCCAGCAGCATGAGTTCGCACATGCGAGCTCAAAGTTAAGTTGAATGGAAATTCCTGCCACTATCCTTGTAAAATTAGCTGTTAACATACCAAAGGCAGTATAAGTATTTATGCCTATTTGAAGAAGGATAATTCTTATCAAAGTACTCAATATTCTGGCAATAATATGATCATGACTCTCTTTAAGTACAATGAACCAAAAAAAGTAGCCATGACTAGGTGCGCATAACATTGTTTGACTCGAATAAAGTGCTTCGAATTCTCTTAGGTGCGCATAACATTTTTTGACTGAAAATTTTTCATGGAGACGTGAAAGGTTTGGACACCATAATAAACCTTATAATGCTGCAATTTGATATTCTGCCCATCAATCAAATCTTACCAGATGGGATTGCAAAGGAAGCCTAGAAAAGATTTCAGTTTTAACCAATCGAAGTGACCCTTTAATGGGCATCTTTAGGATCCACATTTCTACATGTCGTATTGGTGGATCGGGTCAACAAAGAGATGCGTGCAAAGCTTTCCTCATGCATCCCGTCCTTCAGCTTTGTGTTGGACAGCACGATTAAGTATATCAGACTTGCTTTTTCTAATTTGATCTCTTTTGCTCATTCTAGTAATATGGCAAAAAAATATTTATGCAACCGACTCTAAATTGTCAAAAAATAAGACCATATTATGCAAATTACGATCCATGGAAATAATCTACTTTTTTTGAGAGCACATCACTTGATATTCCATCATAAGTACGATTGACTTGGAAGGACTTTCAGGTAAGGCTTAATACTTCTACAAGGTTTTTCCAAACTGTAGGATGCACAAGTAATTTCTATTAAAACTAGCAGTGAATATCTTAAGGCTCCCTCAATTCACTTTCTGTAATCCAAGTTCTTCACTTCAAGTACACAGCTCAAGTCCGTGTTGCGCCTTTACAATCAACTTTTTGGTGACCTGAGCCGGTCTACACTTACACCTCAACTTTAGGTCACCTTTCATTTACAATAACTGAAACTTCAAGACCTCATTACCAACTGTTGATAATAATGTAATCATCTCTGAGTTCGTACAGTTACTCTTACCGTCTACTGGTGTACATTGGCAGTCTGGAATATGACTCTCTGGAAATTCCACTAAGAGTACACTAACAACAGAAACTAAGCCTCTTTGCCAATAAGTTTAGGGCCGTCTCCATGATAAGTACATGGCTTGATTGCTTTTTTACCTTCTGTTGTGCTAAAATATTAAGAAGCTGATTCTTGATGACATGTGCTCCTAACAGAGTACAGTTCATCTTGGATCCTTCATACACATCTAAAGACTATGTTCTGACAGATTATTGTGATTCAAAGTGGGGAAAAACCAGTCTTAAATGTCATTCATGTACATTCATACCCAATAAATTTGTAGGTTGTAGCAAATTCATAAACTTTTATATGTCTTGTTTTCTTTTAGATTTATGAATGACAGCTAAAAGTTTTCATGCTTAATACCTGCAGTGAGCATGGCAAATTCATTGATGCTGACGCAAGGTATCAAGCTCCAAAGGTTTCACCATGATCAATCTGCATTCTATTCTTTTTAACCAGATAGACGGTTTCTCAGTTAAGTATCGCTTGCCATATATGTGTGAAAGGTACCATGAAACCGGTCTTTGCAGGCAATAGCATACAACTTCCTGTCAGAAATGATGAACAGAACCTTTATTTAAGAGCTCATAATTTTTAGGTTTGAATCAAATATCATATTGCATTTTAGAATGACAAAAAACACTAGACTCGATGAATATTTTTTCATATAGTAAGTGGGCTAACGATGTAACACAGTGACAATAGATATAAAACAAAGGGATCTCTTGAATATTCTTCTACAGAGATCTATGTCAATGTAAAAGAGAATGCAACTTGTACAGTACTTGAACAGACTGAACTTCATTTTCTAAATTTGTAGAGTGCTATTCAATCCTCCCTATCAAATATGCCAAAAATGCTCTGTAACTTTTGGCAGCCAAAAAGTCTGTTTATCTCCAAGGGCATTGACAATCCAATGAAGCTTAATTCTAACTTCCTTGAGCTTCATGATGGGGCGAACAGCCTTCCGATTTGAAGTGTCAAATGTTCAAGAGCATTCTCCCAGGTATCAAGATTTTGCCAAACATAAGTATTTACAAGAAGTATTTGTCTTTACATTTTTCACCTAAGCATATCCCCAGAATATAACTGCAACCCACTCAATGCAGGAGATATGCTAAAAGTGTTACCCTCACCACCAAAAAACGAAGGATGTCCAAAGGGTGTTGGTCTATCGGGAATTGTAGGAACCTCAATGTCTCCTTCCAACATTTTCAAGGCATCCAAAATGGTTGGCCGCAAGGCCACCATAACATGAGCACACAGAATACCAACAAGTACAAATCGCTCCATTATGACTTTTGGATTTGCATTTGATGAATCTCCTTTCAAAAGAGAAGCATCCAATACTGATTCTAATTTCCCCGCTTTCACCAGTGACCAAGCCCAATCTGTGATTAGAATTGCTTGAGGTGATTCGGAGGATAGATCAAGAGCTTTCTTCCCACACATTATTTCCAAAACAACTACCCCAAAGCTATAAACATCACTTTTCTCAGTTAACTGCCCATAGAGAGCATATTCAGGAGCCAAATATCCATGTGTTCCGGCCACTCTGGTAGTGAGATGAGACTGTCCTTCTCTGATTTGCTTTGCTAATCCAAAATCTGCAACTCTTGCCTTCATATCTGCATCCAACAAAATGTTTGTAGCCTTAATATCCCTATGATAAATAGCTGGCTTTACTCCATAATGCAGATAAGCTAATCCGTTTGCCACATCCATAATTATGCTTTTCCTTTGTGGCCATGTCAATGGTGGCTTCAAACTTCCACCTTGATTTATCGGAAACAAATGGTCACCGAGGTTTCCATTAGGCATGTAATCATAAACGAGGTATCTCTCACTCTCACTTGGACCAACATTTTCAGTCACACAGCACCCTCTAAGCGGCACAAGATTCCTATGCTTCAAGTTACTAATGATCTCAACTTCATTGCAAAAGTCATCATTTCCTTGAAAATCCGATTCTATGATCTTCTTAACTGCAACAACTGTCCCATCAGCTAAAGTTCCTTTATAAACCATCCCGAATCCACCTCTTCCAATGAAATTCTTGGACGAAAAATTATCGGTTGCCTTCTCAAGTTCATGAATTTTATACCAAATAGCCATCGTCGTAGGCCTCTTTCTTGACCTAGATTCCATTTCTTCTTCTCCCGAATTAAATCCGTCCTGTTTTTTCATCCGTCTTCTTTTCCACCATGAGTACATTCCCAGCAAACAAGACATCAGCAAAATTGCCACACCAGCCCCAGTTAGTCCAAAGACAAGAGCCAAATGCCGTTTACTCGAAGAACCCTTATCCGAATTGATCGAAAGACCAAAGATACAAGTTAAAGCACCAGTGCTTTCAGGCCCAAATTCATTGACAATGCCAGCAGCATATAGAACTGCAAAGTAAAAGCATTCAGTGGAATGAGACTTATTACCATCAGTTGCAATCAAAGAAGACTGAACCCGTAAACCGGCTGCCAGGCAAGCATCGCATTGAGTAAGATCAGTAAGGTCTGGCTTACAAGCAGAGTCCAGTATAGTGGAGGGACCAAGCTTCTTGGCCCAATCTTGGGTGGACTCAATGGAGGCGCATATATTGGGAGTTATCACAAATTGCATTGGATCAAAGCAAATGGATGTGAGATTTTGTGGGAGAACAAGAGAGTTCAACTTGGATTGGAAATCTTCAAGGCATGAAACGGAAGTTGGCAAATTGGGCAGTTGAAAAAGAGAAGATTCTTTAAGATGCTGTGACAGTCCTATGCCATAAAGGGAGAGGAGGGTTTGGCAGCACTGGCGTTTTCCGCCGGTGGGATTGCCGGAAGTAGGAGAAATCTGTTGGGTTGAATTAGGATTTGGAGGGGTTTTGCAATCAGAAATCGACCATGGGATTCGCAGTACATAACCAAGATCCATGGGACATGTAGATGAATTTGTTCTTGAAGTTGGAGAAGAAGAAACCGAAGAAACTAACACCATAATACAAAGAAACAGACAGAAAATTAAGGAACTAGGTTTCATTTTCATTTTGTTACTTCAAAAACAAACAAACAGATTCAGACTGAAAATCAAGATTCAAGAAACCATAAATGGAGAAAAAAGCAGAATTTATCCCTCTCTATCCCAGATGGTTCCAAGAAATAAAAATGGGTGGTGAATAAGATCGAAATTTGTTTTACGGAGGTGATACTTCAAATCAAGTTTGAATCTTCGATAAAAGAAGGTACAGAAAACTGGTCAAATTTGTGTTGTTGCTGGGCAGCTGCTGTCTTTGGACTTTAGTAGATGCCGACGTAGGATCGCATAAGCAATAACATCTGTCATGGGTGAATACGAGCAACAGTAACAGGATTGCGATGGTTTCGTGAGATATAACAGATTTTTCAAATTACTAGTAGGTGAACGTACGTTGTACATTAATTAGTTAATGTTAAGAATAAGTTTACGTAAATTGAGAGATTCATACGTAAACATTAAAGATATTAATAAGTTGGTTCGAATTCACGTATTTTTTCATTCTATTCCATTATAAAAATACATCAGTTAACAAAGGAAATCCCTTCTTTCAAACCTGTTAAATAAAAGTAGAATTTCTTACGAGTAAAGATACCCAAACGAAAAAAACAAAAAGGGGGTACAAGAGAAAAATTTAAAAAAAAAAAAAAAACAAAACAGTAGGGAAAAAACGAAAAGAGAAGATAAAAAACAATACATTCAAGGAACTATTTTTTGAAAAAATATTGGATCCGTTGAGAAACCAACAAAAATAGAACTAGTTAATTGTTTGAACACTCTTTGTACTTTACAAAATGTCACGTTTCACTCACCGAATTTCATTTTGCACCCCATCACTCACTCAACTTTGGAACTTTGCACTCCATCACTCACCCGGCTAACTCCGTCCATACCGTTCGCCTACGTGGAAAACGTCATAACACTTGGCAGTTAAATTACGCCAACTCAACATGGAGCACCATGTCATTAATCCCCAAACCCGCCAAACGCGCCTCTCCATTTAATGAAAGCGTGAGACAACTCTTCATTATATTAACAGAAGAAAAAGATCCATCCCCAAAATCTTCAACTTCCAAATTGTGAAACCCTAACCTGAAATCGAAGTTGAATAGAAAATTAAAGGGCCGACGAGCTGATTCGAACTATCTTGTAGAAATGGAGAAAACAAATGGAGGTAATGTGTAATTCTCCCCCTCCTCCTCCCCTTTTTAGGGTAATGTCTTTGCTGCTGTTATCCTGATTCAAACTATCCTTTTTTCTCCAACTTTTTTAGGATAACGTCTTTGCTGCTGTTATCCTGATTCGAACTATCATGTAGAAATGGTGTTGTGCTATTGTTTGAAAGCATTTGAATGATTTGTAAAATGTAACTAGCAGCAAGAGTTTTTATGCTTAAAGAGTGAAAGTGTCGTACCTAGTTCTTTGAACATCTATGATTATTTTAAAATTTGTTTTAATCAAAACTTTTGCTTGTGTTATAGGTAAGAATAAAGGGGTTTGCCACAGTTACAGATAGCCAGGGCACCAATTGTGGGTATGCCCAAAGAAGCAACAATGTCCAGGTTGTGCGAAGGGCTTTATGAAATGGATGGAGGTAGAAAAGACTGCAAACACTGATCGGTTATTATTTTGCTTCACTAGAGATTGCGGGTTTTTCGAATGGAGCAATGTTTCGCCTGCCAACCAAGAACCATTACAAGATGAGGGCCAGTCCAGTGGCGTTAGAGATGAACAGGAATCGAAATGCAATTGTTTGTCCACTCGTAATCCTACACAGCAAAATGACGAGCTGTCGGATTTGTTCAGAACTTGTACTCGAATTACTGAACAATCAGATGTCGAGATATCCATCAACATTACGTTCTGCAAGGGAAAAGGAGAAATGGATGCCAATGAGAAACATAAGGGAAAAGATCAATGTATAAATTCAAATATGTATTTGATGGGAAGACTTTTAATTTTAACGCTTTTGTACGCATCACGAGATATTTCGTGATCAAAATTGTATGTGCGTTGATGTACTGGACACTATGTCGTGATCTAAATTGTATGTGCATTAACAGGAAAACTTTCATGTTCGAAACTTTGTTTTCTAAATATTTACTTCCGACCTCATGTTGATAGTTCATTAGCAGTTAGTTATATAAATATTTGTTTGAAACTTAATTATGTAAATTGCATGAGCTATTTGAAGTTATATAAACTTAGTTATGTAAACGGTCATTGATCATTGTTGGTGCATAACTACATATAAACCAGGTGTTGCTGTTTGAAACTGGTATGTAAATGGTGTTATGTAAACCATGTTTTGCTGTGCATTTGGATGTTACTAGAGGAAATGAAAGTAAACCAGATGAGATGGAGGAAATAAATGGATGTGTATATTACATAAAACCCAGAATGAAACCAAAATTCACATATGTCCTGAAGTTTACACATCAAAAACCAGAACTACATACCCATGTATATCAGACAAAAACCAGGCAACTCCATCAAAAAATTACCAGAACTACATTCCCATCTATGCAAGATAAAAATAGGCAACAAAGATATTACAAAAGATCTACAAAAACTACAGACACGCGTGAGTAGTAGCATCCATTTCTCCAAGGTTGATGTGCTCTGTCAATGTAGCTCCATTGCCGGTGCTACAAGGAGCTGGCCCATCTGAGACAGTAGTAGTTCGGCATTAGTTCTCGACTCTGGGAGTGGGCATGAAGTGAAAATAGCAAACTTCATTGTGTGCGTTGCTTGAACTAGATCCATTCCCTCTGTTTGGAACTAGTTTTCCCTATCAATGGCAAGTGTACTACAAGGTAAATGTTTGGCAATCTTAACAGCAACATTGATAGGGAATGAAAAAAGAAAATGTTTTCCATTACAACTACTTACATGTCTCCTTATTTCCTCCGATGTGTGACTACCCGTTGGGACTAGCTCCAAATGTCCAGTTCTGGAGATGGAAGAAAATGAATGATCAACTATCATTTCAATTGAAATTAACAATAAACATTCATTCAAGTACTTACGTTGAACAATGCATTAGGTCTAGAATGGTATCTTTTGTTGTGACCCTTTAAGTTACATATTGAACATGTCATCGATACTCTTCCTTTTCTCCTGACATGCAATTTTCCCTAGGAGTTTGCAATAACATCTTCATCAGCTTGCAATGACATTCAATCACATTACTCAAACCCTTTTACCTTTCGGTCATCACGGTCTAGTCATGCCCATTTCCCATTTGAATATCCTCTGCCAAATATTTCAAAAACCATCTCCATATAATTGTGTTCTCCTTTTGGACAATGGCATACACAATTGGATAAATGCAGTCATTTGTATCTAGGCCAACTGCAGTGAGCATCACATCATCGCAAACACTCGGAGATGACACCCGTCTAATCCAATCAATTTTCTACACCCATGTCGAAATCCTAATTTGCAAGCACTTAAACATAAATATATACCTTGAAAAACCTACCCATTTAGTGTTATCATCACTGTGGACCCCAGATTTGTCCTCAACACCTCGACCACGTATGACCTTAATGACACAAATTGTTCTTCGATGCTTCCATTAATCATCTGTTTTGCATATCTTCTTGCTTTTCAAGCTACATTTCAAGTAATATTTACCTTCAAGTCTTCCTTTACAGTTGCTTGCATACTTTTCATTTTTCACTCCGGATCTACCTTGACCTGCTCAATGTACCAATGAACTATGAAAATATAGTTATAATGACGATTGTATTGATCCCTATTGCATGCGTGCTGAGGCATGCATGACTTTACTTGGATCGTAATCATCTTAGAAGCCCATATTCTCCTTTGGCATTTTGATTTACAAATCCCTTGAACTCTATTTTCGTCATTTACCTTACACTTTACATTATATTAGTTTACTGCACCTTAAGTTCGAATTGCCTTCCTAAATTCTTGCATAGAACTGAACAACTAACCAACATGGAGTTGTGGATCCTGCATATCAGTTTCAGCCATAAACTCTGAAAATCGATACGTAGCCTCATCATCAGATGACATGTCGGACAACAGTTCTTCTGACGATGGACATTCCAAATCGTCCACATACTCTTGTTCATTTTCTACCACTACACCATCTTCTTCCCGTTCAGTTCCACCTACATCGCAACTGACCTCAAATCCCTCCGTTACATTATCGTCAAACAACCTATCATCTTCACCAGTCGATAAGTCGGTATCACAATCATTGAAGTCAGGGTCTTCCTCCGCATTTGTCACGAAAACAAGAAATTGGAAAAGATCAACAAAACTCGCCGAAGAAGAAAGAATGTCGATAATTATGCTAAATTGTTCTTAAACAGCCTATTGGATCCTTGAAAGAACCTGGGTAAACCAACATAAAATATAAACATTGTCATTCCAGAATCAAAGTAAATTAATGGGTTATTGGGTTCGAAAATAGAACCGAGTACAAATGTGAAAATTGAAACTCGTCATTGGGTTAGAAAACGAAATGTGTATGCACAACAATACACGAAATTGGTTTTTGGGATGAAAATAGGTAGCACAACAACATAGAAAAACTACAAAAGCATAAAAGAAATACACCACCAACATTTTTGAAGAATCCAAAAAGAATAAAAAATAATTCTGTACTTTACTCCTTGTGGACCCTCCATGTGCGAGTGTTACAAACACTAATATTCCTTGTTGGGGTGGGGCCTTCGACCATGATGTCAGGTCGGTTTCAAGTTATGGCTCACGACGTGTAATGCAATTAAGCTACCAAGCTTCAATTTCTGTGTTCTTTTAGAAACTAGGGTTCTAACTCACACAATTTTAATGCATTAAATGGAGAGGTGTGTTTGGGGTTTAATGACATTGCACTCCATGTTGAGTTGGGCCAAGTGTCGATGACGCCTTCCACGTAGGCGAACGGTATGGACAAAGTCAGCCATGTGAGTGATGGAGTGCAAAAGTCCAAAGTTGAGTGAGTGATGGGGTGCAAAATGAAGTTCGGTGAGTGAAACATGACATTTTGTAAAGTACAATGAGTGTTCAAACAATTAACTCAAAATAAAACCCTCTGGTGTTTTGCTTCTCATTAGATGACAGAGCCTAGATTTTTTTCATAAATTCTAACTTAAATCAGAAAAAATATGAAGAATCTCCTAAACCAGATTAGGAGTAACCAAGCAATAGTTTACTCTAACCTAAATCTTTTTTGCAAGTTAAATAACTTTCAGTCCCTTGCTTCCTTCAAGATCAATAATGTGATTAGAAGTAAATTTCCCAGTTCCTGATGTCACCTGATGCCTTTCTTGCGTTGGAGGGTGTCTTTGTGTTGCATAATTGCAACATCATTTTCAGCAACCGAACCGTTTCGTAGAGT